ACGTATGGTTCCAGATCGCCCCATAACATTTTGCAAGATGTTACACCTTCGTCGCAGAGTCATATCCCATCACCCGGTCCCAGATCCTTGTCCCAGATTATTCCATGTAAATCGTTCCAGATCGCTCCGTCCCAGGTCGATTCATACCCATTAGTCTAGCGACAGTTGGACCGGTTCGCCGATCCCGTTAAGATCATCTTCCACCTCCGTATTGGATCGCCGAGTATCATGGCCTCCTTTTCCACCAGTAAGCGGCGCTTTAAAGGTGTGGCCACCGATCCTCGTACAAAATTTGAGTAGTGACTTTGCCACACCAGTATTGGTAACCGTGACCGGTCCAATCCGAACCGCCTGTTCAGCTTAGTATTTACGACGTAGTTCTTACGGTAATTACCATAGTTGATTAGACGCGTAGGATGATGAGACGCTTCACATGATTTATATGTGCACCACATATAAATCATGTAGTAAGTAGTAAGCCCCGATAATCAATCACTTTCCAATCTTCCATCTACCCCCCAAGTGTCTTCTCCGGTCTTCCGAGTGGACTCCCAGCATCACTCCCAGTTTCGGTCGTCAAGCTTTTCACCCAATCAACAGGTTATGAGCCCGAGCACGATGTCCTCTGCTCATGATGCCACCACCAAGATCTCCATTGACAAGTTCGACGGCGACAACTACGCGACGTGGAGCCGCTACATGCGTGGCGTGTTCCTGACCAAGTCGGCGTGGCACGTGGTGAACCGGGAGACCACCCCCACCTTCGCCGATCCTCGCGCCAGTGACGACTACGTCAAGACGAACAACATTGCGTTCGGCTTGATGCTTCTGCACATGAGCGCGGATTATCATCACGTGGTTGATGACTGTGAAGAGGCGTGGGTCGCGTGGGCGCGTTTGAAGACGCTGTACGGCGGGTCGCAGAAGGCTGGACGCATCTACTTGAAGCGCCAGCTGTTCAGCATGGAGATGGCGGAAGGCGGCAATGTGATGCATCATTGCAACGAAGTCCTCAACATCAGCGCGAAGCTCAGCAGCATCGGCGCCAAGATGGAGGACGAGGACGTGGCGATCTGCTTGTTGCGCAGCCTCCCCAAGAGCTACGAGAACGTCGTTCTCAACTTGGAGATGAGCAGCGCGGAACTGCGATCGCGAGACGTCGTGAGAGTGCTCACGAATGAGCACATCAAGAGGCAAGGTGACAAGACGACATCGGTGAAGACTGAAGACGCGGCGAAGGCGTTCAGTGCCGAGCGTGAACCTCGCCAGTGTACATACTGCGGAAAATTGGGGCACACGGCGGAGCGGTGCTGGACCAAGCAGAAGGACAAAAATCAAGGTGGAGCTCGACGCGGCGGCAACAATGCTCGTGGACGCGGAGCCAACAACGTTCAGTGGCGAACCAACAACAACAACGACGATAACTACGATCGAGTTGCGTTCGCGGTTTCGCTGGAGGCTGGACTTTCGACGGGCAAGAATATGCCAGGGATGTGGGCAGTCGACAGCGGTGCGACGCATCACATCTGCAACGACAAAGCCAAGTTTGCAAGCCTGAATGAGCGAGAGGAAGGCGAACTGTCAGTGGCTGATGGCAGCAAGGCTGCGATCAAGGGTGTGGGAACCATCATGGAACGGGTGGTTCTGCCCAATGGTGACGAACGCGACATCGAGATCAAGGACGCACTGTTCGTACCAGGTATGAGCAAGAATCTGCTTTCGGTGCCACAGATCAACAAGGGTGGCAGGTTCCAAGTCGTGTTCGATGGATCCAACATGCAAGTGAAGCGCAAGAATTCCACACAAGTCGTGGCAACAGCGGATCTCGTCGATGGACTTTACTGGCTGCGGACTCCTCAACGATCGGCAAATGCAGCAACACGCGATGGGACCATCGACTTGCATGCGCGCATGGGTCATGCACCCCTCGAAGTTCTGCGCAAGATGGTGGCCACTGGCATGATCAAGGACGCCAAGGCACCTCTCAACTCGACTGGTCCAAGTGTGTGTCGCGGTTGACAGCAAGGAAAGATGGTCCAAAAACCATTCCCAACCAACCGTGACAAACGCCAATATGGTGTGTTCGAGTTGCTGCACTTCGACATCTGCGGGCCAATGGAACAAGTCTCGATCGGCGGCAGCAAATACTTACTGCTTGTGGTTGACGAAGCCAGCGGTTGCATGAAGGGCTTCTGTCTGCGGTCCAAGTCTGAGAGTGAAGTCTGTATCAAGAACCACATTATCAAGATTCAGACTCAGTTCGGCACGAAGATCAAGTTTGTTCGGCACGATGGAGCGCATGAGTTTGCGACCAACTCGATCAAGAACTTCTACGAAGATCATGGGATCGAACAACAAGTCACGGTGCCGTATGCACACCGGACCAACGGCACCGCAGAACGCGCGATAAGGACCATCGTCACGATCGGACGCAGCCTGTTGCATCATGCAAAACTGGAGAAGTGTTTCTGGGCTGAAGCGGCAATGACGGCGATCTACATCAAGAACCGCCTGCCTTCACCCAAGATCGACCACAAGACTCCGTTCGAAATCGTGTACAAGTCGAAACCAAGTGTCAAGCACATGCGCGTGTTTGGATGTCGGGCGTTTATCCTGACACCAAGGGAGAAGCGATTGAAGTGGGACCCGAAGGCTCGTGAAGGGATGTTCATGGGCTACGAAGAAGCGTCAAAATCTTATCGAGTGTACGACATTGAGGCGGACCAAGTGGTGATCAGTCGTGACATCACCTTCGACGAATCGACTTTTGATTTTTCGATGGACCGACCAAGTGACGATGATGAAGATGCGGAGTTGGACCTCGACCTCCTGGCGATCAACGAGGACGACGTGCGTCAAACCGTCTACAAGCAGACTGGCAAGCGCAAGATTGAAGCAAGACCCGGCATGTCACGTTCAGCTCGCCCTCGAACTGGGTTGGAACAAGCAAGTGCGCCGGCACACGTCTCCAACCGTCACCAGAAACGACGATCAAGTGCTCCAGAAACGATGTCTGATGATGAAGAAGATGCAAGTGTCTACGATCAAGATGACGACTCGACGCCTCCAACATTTTGGCGTGCAAGTGCAAACGCAGTGGAAGCAACGGACCTAGCAGAACCTGTGACTTTTCAAGACGCGATCAATGGTCCTGATCAAACTCACTGGCGAAATGCTGTGAAGGCGGAACTCAAGTCGATGCATCTTCGTGGAGTTTTCCGTGCGGCAAAACTACCAAGAGGCCAAGGCGCGATCGGCACCAAGTGGGTGTTCAAGATCAAGCGCAAAGCGGATGGATCGGTCGAGAAATACAAGGCGCGTCTCGTTGCCAAGGGCTTCAAGCAGAAGTACGGCATCGACTACACAGAGACGTTCTCGCCCGTGGTCAAGTACGTGACACTGCGTATGGTGATCGCGATCACCAAGTATTTCGACTGGCCACTGGACCAACTCGATGTGGTGACAGCCTTTCTCTACGGAGTGATGAAGGAGAAGGTGTACTGCGTGATACCAGAAGGCGTCGAGATGGATGGCGACTTCGACTGTCTCGAGTTGGTAAAGGCGATCTACGGTCTCAAGCAAGCTTCACGTGTGTGGAACGAGACTTTCGACGAGTTCGTATGCTCTATCGGTTTCGAAGCGTCGGCGTTCGACCCATGTCTCTGCATCAAGGTTGTCGACGGTCACTGTGTGCTCGTGCTGGTCTACGTGGATGACGTGTTGGTCACCGGCAGCTCGCTCGAGTCGATTGCGCAGACGAAGGCCGACCTCAAGACGCGTTTCGAGATGACCGACAGTGGCAAGTGTACTTTTGTACTGGGCATCGAACTGGTGGACGAATCTGATGGCAGCGTGACGATGTGCCAGCGACGGTATGTCAACGACATCCTCAAGCGCTTCGGCATGGATGAGTGCAAGGCCACAGCAAGTCCGGTCGACTTGAGCACTCGGCTTGTCGCAAGCACCGAAGCGGCCAAGATCGACGTTTCGTTTCGTGAAGCTGTGGGAGCTTTGATGCACTTGACGACTGCGACGCGCCCGGACATTGCGTATGCTGTGGGGTACGTCTCGCGCTTCATGGAGAATCCGCAGCAAGAACATTGGACGGCGGTGAAGCGCATCTTTCGTTACTTGCAAGGGACCAAGTCGCACGGACTCCGCTTCCAGCCAAGCGACAAGATCGACTTTCGTGGCTACTCGGACGCGGACTGGGCCGGCGACCACGCTGATCGCAAGTCGACTTCGGGTTACACTTTCATGCTGATGGGTGCTCCTGTGAGTTGGGGAAGCAAGAAGCAGTCAAGTGTGTCGCTGTCGACGAGTGAAGCGGAATACATCGCACTGAGTCTGGCCATCCAGGAAGGCAAGTGGGTGCATCGCCTGCTATGCGAGATTTTGGCGGCCGCAAACGAACCAGGACCGGACCTCGTCATCCGTGAAGACAACCAGTCGTGCATCAAGATGACGAAGAATCCGGTGAATCATGGCCGCGCCAAGCACATCGACATCAAGTACCATCACATCCGTGATGAGGTCAAGCGCGGTGAAGTGCAGCTCGAGTATTGCGAGACTTCCGTGATGATGGCGGACATCATGACCAAGGGACTTTCGGGACCTCGTCACAAGGACTTGACGACGGCTCTCGGCATTCGTGCGAGTTCGGATTGAGGGGGCGTGTTGACGGTCATCGGTTTCTACCAGTATTGGTAACCGTGACCGGTCCAATCCGAACCGCCTGTTCAGCTTAGTATTTACGACGTAGTTCTTACGGTAATTACCATAGTTGATTAGACGCGTAGGATGATGAGACGCTTCACATGATTTATATGTGCACCACATATAAATCATGTAGTAAGTAGTAAGCCCCGATAATCAATCACTTTCCAATCTTCCATCTACCCCCCAAGTGTCTTCTCCGGTCTTCCAAGTGGACTCCCAGCATCACTCCCAGTTTCGGTCGTCAAGCTTTTCACCAATCAAAAATCCTCAAGCGCTTTGGAATGGAGGAGTGCAAGGCTGTGGCGAGTCCTGTGGATGTCAGTTTTCGACTGATGTCAAGCAGCACAGCGAGCAAGATCGATGTTCCATTCCGTGAAGCTGTTGGTGCTTTGATGCATCTGACGACTGCAAAACGACCGGACATTGCCTATGCTGTGAGCTTTGTGTCGCGCTTCGTGGAGGTCCCCAAGAAGAACACTGGGTTGCGGTCAAGCGCATCTTTCGCTACCTACAAGACACCAAGATGCATGGAATGTGCTCCAAGCCAAGTGCAAGGATCGACTTTCGTGGCTATTCGGACGCAGACTGGGACGGCGACCTTACTGATCGCAAGTCAACGTCTGGATACGTCTTCATGCTATTGGGTGCTCCAGTGAGTTGGGTCTGATGAACTTTAGACTTCTTGGTCCGAGTGCAAAACGCAAAGTGAATATATATTTATAATAGGTACTTAGTTCGCAACTTTGAATACTACCTCTAAGCCTATTATTCGCAGTGACGTCATCCAGTGACGTCACCCACTGACGTCACCCACTGACGTCATGCAATGACGCCATCCAGTGACGTCACCCACTGACGTCATCCAATGACGTCATTTCCTGACTTCGCCCTTACTGGTACATACCGGTACCCACCGGTATAGCGAAGCTTGGTCTTCCACTTGCTTCAACACTTGACGAGGTGTCTTCTTCACAGCCGCTGTCTTTTCAACACTCCCTCTCGACTCGTTAGCTGCGGCACCTTGGATCCCAAGTCGATCGCGAATGTTTTCAAATTGTACAGCGGCGATCGGCTTGGTCATCATGTCTGCCAGCATATCTTGAGTCGGGCAATACTCCAAAACGACTTCACCTGATTCCACCTTCTCACGCACAAAATGGTAGCGTATGTCGATGTGTTTTGTTCTCTTATGGAACTCCGGGTTCTTGGCGAGAGCGATTGATCCTTGGTTGTCTTCATACATCTTGATCGCTTCGTCGCTTGTCATCTCACCAAGTTCCCCCAAAAGCACCTTGAGCCATACTGCTTCTTTGGTTGCTTCGGAAAGCGCCATGTATTCTGCTTCTGTTGAAGATAGCGCGACCGTCCGTTGTTTCTGGCTTTTCCAGCTGATGCATCCTCCGTTCATCATGAACACAGCCGCTTGTACTTCGTCTTGACTCAATGTCGCCGGCCCAGTCTGCGTCGGTGTACCCGCAGATACGGCTTCCTTCTTCACGTGTAAACTCAAGACCATGATTGGGCGTTGCTTGCAGGTATCTCAGCACACGCTTCAAAGCTTGCCAGTGAGTCGGGCATGGGTCGGACGAGAACTGGGATAATGATCCCACTGCAGCAGCTAGATCCGGACGTGTGGCGACCATGAGATACATGATGCCTCCGACAGCACTTCGATATGGCACGTTGCACATGGTGTCTTCGTGCTTGCATTCTCGTTCACACATGTTCTTGGTTAGCTTCAGGCCGGGATCTTGAGGCGTCTTCACTGGCTTGCTGTTATCCATTCCGAACTTGGTCAACACGGACTTGAGAAACTTGGTTTGTTGCACAGTCACCATTCCCGTCTTACGGTCGTTCTTGATCTCCATGCCGAGAAAGTAATCGAGCTCACCGAGATCCGTCATTTCGAAGCGTTTGCTCAGCGCCATCTTGGTCGACTTGAGGAGTTCGTTGTTGCTGCTGGCCAGGATGAGATCATCGACGTAGAGCACCACGAGAATCATGTCTTGGTCGTCTCGCTTGATGTAGATGCAGTGGTCCGATTCGCACTTCTTGAATCCCATCTTGATCATGAACCCATCGATTGTTTGGTTCCACATGCGAGGCAATTGCTTCAAGCCGTAGAGTGATCTCTTTAGCTTGCACACATAGTCCGGCTGTGTTGCATCCAGGTATCCGTCCGTCTGGTCCATGTAGATGTCTTCGTTGAGGGAGCCGTTAAGAAACGCTGTCTTGACATCCATCTGATGTAGCATTAGGCCGTACTTAGCCGCCATACTGAGCACCACACGAATCGATGTGAACTTGGCCACCGGTGCGAAAGTTTCTTCATAGTCAACTCCGAATTTCTGTGAGAATCCTTTGGCCACAAGTCTTGCCTTGAAACGTTCAACTTCGCCATCTTGATTCTCCTTTACACGAAAAACCCATTGGCACCCGATGGCCTTGCGACCTTTCGGAAGAGGCACGATTTCCCACGTGTCGTTTCTCTGAAGCGAATCGAACTCCGAGTCACACGCTTCTTTCCACTTGCCGGAGTCGCTTGATTCCATCGCCGACTTGAATGTAGTCGGCGTTTCCCCCACTGAATCAACGATGTAGGCTGCTTCAAAATCCATTGCAGCCGCTGACACATGCTCAAGCGACGGACCTCTGTATGTTCTTCGCTTGGGACTTGGAATGACGGTAGCTTTCTCAAGTGATTGAGTGCGCGTGTGTCTCTTGATGTTGCTCTTCGAAGACCTGGTGTCTTCGTTGTCATCGTCGCTCGAGTCCATGTCGTCGTCAGTTTTACCTTCTTCTTTTTCTTCGTCCTCATCATGATCATCAAACTCAACGACACTTGACTCATCGTTGTAGTTGCGCGGACCTTCATCAAACTTGTCTTCCATGAATGTGGCATCGCGACTGATCTTGATCGCTCCTGTTGACACTTCCTCAAATCGATATGACTTCTGGTGTTCGGCGTATCCCAGGAAACGACAGAGTGATGACTTGGAGTCGAACTTCGCGCGTTTGTCTTGAGGCACTTGAACATACGCGTGGCATCCAAACACTTTAAGGTTGGCCAGAATCGGTTTCTTCATCGTCCACACTTGATATGGAGACTTGTCTTGGTGAATGGCACGTGTTGGACAGCGGTTTCGAAGAAACATCGCCGTCATCACTGCTTCACCCCAGTAGCTCTTTCCCAGTCCAGCGTGTTCCATCATGCAACGCGCACACTCGACCAGCGTGCGATTCATTCTCTCAGCTACTCCGTTTAGCTGAGGAGTATATGGGGTTGTGAACCTTTGTTGTATTCCCCGTTCCGCGCAGAATCGTGCCAGCTTGTCGGACTTGTATTCACCCCCATTGTCGCTTTGAAGGTACTTCACGCGCTTTCCGGTTTGCGTTTCGGCCATCGCAGCGTATTCCATGAACTTCGCCGCAACTTCAGATTTGCTCTTGAGCAGATAGACGACACAGTATCTTGACTTGTCATCGATGAATGTCACGAAGTACCGTTTTCCACTGAAAGTTGCCATCGAAATCGGTCCGCATACGTCGCTATGAATCACTTCGAGGAGTTTGGAGGTGCGAGCTGTAGTGTTTGATTGGAAGCGCACTCGAGTCTGTTTTCCCAGAGCACAACCTTCACACACGTCCCACTTCTTCACCGAAGATATGTCGATGCCAATTCCAATGTTCTTCGTCACGATGCAATTGAGTCCATCGTGCCCTATGTGGCCAAGACGAAGGTGCCAGAGGTACGACTTGGTGCCCCCTTGACATCCCGACGACTTGGCTGCATTTGCTTGTTCCGGCGCCACTGGAGTCATTTGCAGCTTGAACAGTCCTTTACCTTCACGGGCACCAATTTTCCACTTGGTCCCTTTCGCTTCTCCATAGCACCCATCCTTCGTGAACGTCACTGGGCCGACATCCTTGGTGAAGCGGCCGACCGAGAACAGGTTTCTGGATAACTTTGGGATGTGCCACACGTTTGTGAGCACACCTTTCTTCATCCCTTGGGGTGTCTTCATCGACATGACAATGTCCCCACTGCCGATTGCTTGGACGATTCCATCATCCGCGAGATGGACATCCACAGCGTCAAACCCCTTGTAGTTCCGCATGAACTTCTTGGAGCACGTCATGTGCTGCGTCGCCCCGGAGTCGACCAACCAGATGTCGCTTGATTTCGCAGATGTCGTTTCACCGATCGAAAAAAGGTAGTCGCCCGAGTCTTCTTCTTGAGCGACGTTTGCACGTTGTGATCGATAGCGGTCGCCGCTGTCTTGAGCACGCTGTGGCCGGTGTCTCTCCGTGTTTTCTTGGATGCGCGAGGGGCACTCCGCCATCCAGTGACCAATCTTTCCGCAATTGTGGCACGGCCAGGACTTCTTCACTGGTCGCCCTTTGCGCTGATTGTCCCTTGTGATGAACGCTTGACCTTGCGAAGCTTCATCACCTTTACTTCCTTGCTCCTTCCGCTTCATTTCTTCATGAAGCAGTCGAGACGTCACGAGCTCCCAGCTAAGAGTGTCTGAGCGCGACTCCAAAGCTGTGATCAAGAATTGATACGAGTCACTCAGGCTGCCTAGAAGTGTGATCACCAGATCGTCCTCGCATACTGGAGCCCCCACCGCTTCTAGCTGTTCCGCCAGCGTCTTGAGCTTGTTGATGTGTTCGAGCACATCGTCGCCTTCTTCCATCATTGTCGTGAAGAAGCGACGGCGCAAGAACAGCTTGTTGGCAAGACTCTTCTTCTCGAAGTGGTCTTCCAACCTTGACCATGCATCGCATGCACCACTTGCCGACCTGACCAACGGTAGCTGGGAATCTTCCATGGCTAGACAGATCACTGCCATCGCCTTTCTTGACTTCCTCTTGTACGTCGCTTGGTCCAACTGAGTCTCGCACTGTTCCGCCTTGATCTCACCGCTGACGACCTCCCATAGGTCCCGTTCCTCCAGCACCATCTGCATCTTGAACTTCCAGGCGTGGAAGTTAGTTCCATCGAACTTGGAGATGCGGAGGGAGGAGGCGTCCATGGCAGCTAAGCTTGAATTTTTGGCGGTTTCAGAGTCTGACGAACTTGGGCTCATAACCTGATGAACTTTAGACTTCTTGGTCCGAGTGCAAAACGCAGAGTGAATATATATTTATAATAGGTACTTAGTTCGCAACTTTGAATACTACCTCCAAGCCTATTATTCGCAGTGACGTCATCCAGTGACGTCACCCACTGACGTCATCCAATGACGTTATTTCCTGACTTCGCCCTTACTGGTACATACCGGTACCCACCGGTATAGCGAAGCTTGGTCTTCCACTTGCTTCAACACTTGACGCAGCTTGACGAGGTGTCTTCTTCACAGCCGCTGTCTTTTCAACAGGGTCAGCAAGAAGCAGCCAAGTGTGTCACTGTCTACAAGTGAAGCGGAGTACATTGCGCTAAGTCTGGCGATTCAGGGAGGCAAGTGGATCCACCGCTTACTGTGCGAGATCATGGCAGCTGCTAATGAGGACGGACCCGATCTCATCATCCAAGAAGAAAACTTGTCCTGCATCAAAATGACCAAGAATCCGGTCAACCACGGCCGCGCCAAACACAGTGATATCAAATACCATCACATTCGCGATGAAGTCAAGCGCGGTGAAGTGAAGCTTGAATAATGCGAGACGACGGTGATGTCGGCAGACATTATGACCAAGGGAATTCACAGACCGCGCCACAAGGACTTAACAGTGGCGCTAGGCATCTGAGCTCGTTTGGATTGAGGGAACGTGTTGACGGTCATCGGTTTTCTACCAGTATTGGTAACCTTGACCGGTTCAATCTGAACCGCCTGCTCAGCTTTTACGACGTAGTTCTTACGGTAATTACCCATAGTTGATTAAACGCGTCGGATGATGAGACGCTTCACATGATTTATATGTACACCAATGTAAATCATGTAGTAAGTAGTAAGCCCCGATAATCAATCACTTCCGAATCTTCCAACTATTGGGCAAGTGTTTTCTGCTCTACTCTCTTCAGCCTCTCCGCACCCTTCGCTCCGCTCTTTGCAATGCAACAGGTTATGAGTCCGAACGCCATGTCGTAAACCACCAACTCATCATCCAACGCCTCCATTGATAAGTTCAATGGAGACAACTATGCGACTTGGAGTCGATACATGCGCGGTGTGTTTTTGAAGAAGTCCGTCTGGTACGTCGTGTACCGTGAAACGACTCCGACTTTCACCGACCCTCGAGCGCCCGATGACTACGTCAAGGCGAGCAATGTCGCATTTGGTATGATGCTGCTGCACATGAATGCGGATTACCACCATGTGCTTGACAAATTCGAGGAAGCGTGTGTTGCGTGGACAAGTCTGAAGACGCTGTACGGTAGGTCGCAGAAGGCAGAACGCATCTTCCTTAATCGGCGACTTTTCAGCATCAAGATGGACGAAGGCTCGTCTAAAAATAAGTGGAGTTTTGACGAGCAAGGACATGTCTGGAATGGGCCGTCGTGAAACGCACCACATTTGCCACGACAAAAACAAGTTTACAGCTTGGTCAAAGGAAACGATGGCGAGATCCTGGTGGATGATGGTATCAAGCGGCCATCGAGGGTGTGGGATCCATCATTGAAAAGGTGGTTCTGTCCAACGGTGAAGAGCGCGAAATCAAGATCAAGAAAGCGTTATATGCTCGAAGTATTATCAAGAACCTTCTTTCGGTGCCACAGATCAACACGCATGGCAAGTTCCAAGTCGTGTTTAACGGGTCCAAGATGTATGTGACTCTCAAGAACTCACAGCAAGTGGTGGCGACAGCGGATCTTGTGGATGGACTTTACTGGCTTCGTACGACTCAGCGATAAGCAAATGTGACAACAAGTGGAAACAGTTGTGCTGACCTACATTCGCGAATGGGTCACGCTTCAGTCGACGTACTGCGCAAGATGATCACGACCAACATGATCAAGGATGTGCGAGTCCCTCTGAAGTCGGGTGGAGCAACTGCATGTTGAGGGTTCCAACAAGGGAAAATGGTCTAAAAACCATTCCCAATCAACCGCGACAAGCGTAACTACGATACGTTCGAGCTGCTTCATCTAGACATCTGTGTGCCCATGAAAAACGAATCGCTCGGTGGCAGCAGATATTTGGCACTGATCGTAGACGAAGCCAGTGGATGTATGAAGGGCTTTTTACGAGTGAAGTCCGAGAGTGAAGACTACATCCGGAAGTACATCACTATGGTACAGACGCAGTTGAGTAAGAAGGTCAAGTTTGTGCTACACGACGGAGCCCGCGAGCTCGCAACCAACTCGCTTCGATTGTTCTACGAAGATGAAGGCATTGAAAAGCAGACAACGGTGCATATGCGCATCAAACAAACGGAACAACAGAGCGTGCTATTAGAACTATCGTCACGATCGGCCGCAGCATGCTTCACCATGCCAAGTTGGACAAGTGCTTCTGGGCTGAATTAGCAATGACGGTCATCTACGTCAAGAATCGCCTACCGTCACCAAAAATGTGCATAAGACCCCGTTTGAGATCGTGTACAACTCCAAAACAAGTGTCAAGCACATGCGAGTATTCGCATGTCAGACGCACATACTGACGCGAAAGAGAATCGACTCAAGTGGGATCCAAAGGCTGGCGCTGGCATGCTCGTGGGCTACGAAGAAGCGTCGAAGGCGTATCAAGTTTATGACGTTGAGGCGGGGAAGGTGGTCGTCAATCGTGATGTCAACTTCGACGAATCCACCTGTGGACTTCCACCACCGATCACTGATGAAGGTGCCGATGACCTGGAATTCAAATTACTCAATGATGAAGAGCCGCGTCAGGTAGAGTACAAGCAAACAGGCAAGCGCAAGAGCCGCCTCGATGATGAAGATGCAGCTGCTCAACGACTGCGTGCAGTGAGTCAACGGCCTGGACTAGAAGAGTCAAGCACGCCGGACAGCAACTCGTCATGCTAAGAAGAAGACGCAGAAACGAAGAATTCTGATGAATCAACTCCGCCTGTGTTTTGGCGTGCGAGTGCGAATGCCGTAGAAACAGCAGCGGGTTTATTGGAGTCGTCAACATTTTAGGCAGCAGTGAGAAGCCCTGACAAAGTGCACTAGCGGAAATGCATTCATGCGGAGCTCGAGTCAATGCGACTTCGCGGTGTGTTCGTGCAACCAAGCTACCTAACGGACAACGCGCCATTGGTAAGAAGTGGGTCTTCAAGATCAAGCGTAAAGCGGATGGATCTATAGAGAAGTACAAGGCACGACTTGTGGCCAAAGTATTCCGCCAAAAGTACGGCATCGACTACACGGAGACATTTTCGCCTGTGATCAAGTATGTGACTCTGCGAATGGTGGTCGCAATTTCCAAGCCATTTGGATGGCCCATGACCAGCTTGATGTGGTGACAGCTTTCCTGTATGGCGTCATGAAGGAACAAGTGTTCTGCGTGATTCCTGAAGGCGTCGAACTTGACAGTACGTTCGACTGCCTGGAATTGGTGAAGTCAATTTACGGCCTCAAGCAAGCGTCGCGAGTGTGGAACGAGACGTTCGACGAGTATGTGTGCTCCATTGGATTCCAAGCGTCGTACTTCGACCCATGTCTCTACATCAAGACTTCGGACGGCCATTGTGTGCTTGTACTGGTCGACGTGAAAGACGTCTTGGTAACTGGAATCTCGCTTGAGCTAATTGCACGAACCAAGAACGACTTGAAGACACGTTTTTAGATGGCAGACAGCGGCATATATTCATTTGTTCTTGGGATCGAGCTTTTGGACGGTGGAGATGGCAGTGTGACTCTGTGTCAGCGCCATTATGTCGATGATATCCTCAAGCGCTTTGGAATGGAGGAGTGCAAGGCTTGTTGACGGTCATCGGTTTCTACCAGTATTGGTAACCGTGACCGGTCCAATCCGAACCGCCTGTTCAGCTTAGTATTTACGACGTAGTTCTTACGGTAATTACCATAGTTGATTAGACGCGTAGGATGATGAGACGCTTCACATGATTTATATGTGCACCACATATAAATCATGTAGTAAGTAGTAAGCCCCGATAATCAATCACTTTCCAATCTTCCATCTACCCCCCAAGTGTCTTCTCCGGTCTTCCGAGTGGACTCTCAGCATCACTCCCAGTTTCGGTCGTCAAGCTTTTCACCAATCAACAGGTTATGAGCCCAAGCACGATGTCCTCTGCTCATGATGCCACCACCAAGATCTCCATTGACAAGTTCGACGGCGACAACTACGCGACGTGGAGCCGCTACATGCGTGGCGTGTTCCTGACCAAGTCGGCGTGGCACGTGGTGAACCGGGAGACCACCCCCACCTTCGCCGATCCTCGCGCCAGTGACGACTACGTCAAGACGAACAACATTGCGTTCGGCTTGATGCTACTGCACATGAGCGCGGATTATCATCACGTGGTTGATGACTGTGAAGAGGCGTGGGTCGCGTGGGCGCGTTTGAAGACGCTGTACGGCGGGTCGCAGAAGGCTGGACGCATCTACTTGAAGCGCCAGCTGTTCAGCATGGAGATGGCGGAAGGCGGCAATGTGATGCATCATTGCAACGAAGTCCTCAACATCAGCGCGAAGCTCAGCAGCATCGGCGCCAAGATGGAGGACGAGGACGTGGCGATCTGCTTGTTGCGCAGCCTCCCCAAGAGCTACGAGAACGTCGTTCTCAACTTGGAGATGAGCAGCGCGGAACTGCGATCGCGAGACGTCGTGAGAGTGCTCACGAATGAGCACATCAAGAGGCAAGGTGACAAGACGACATCGGTGAAGACTGAAGACGCGGCGAAGGCGTTCAGTGCCGAGCGTGAACCTCGCCAGTGTACATACTGCGGAAAATTGGGGCACACGGCGGAGCGGTGCTGGACCAAGCAGAAGGACGAAAATCAAGGTGGAGCTCGACGCGGCGGCAACAATGCTCGTGGACGCGGAGCCAACAACGTTCAGTGGCGAACCAACAACAGCAACGACGACAACTACGATCGAGTTGCGTTCGCGGTTTCGCTGGAGGCTGGACTTTCGACGGGCAAGAATATGCCAGGTATGTGGGCAGTCGACAGCGGTGCGACGCATCACATCTGCAACGACAAGGCCAAGTTTGCAAGCCTGAATGAGCGAGAGGAAGGCGAACTATCAGTGGCTGATGGCAGCAAGACTGCGATCAAGGGTGTGGGAACCATCATGGAACGGGTGGTTCTGCCCAATGGTGACGAACGCGACATCGAGATCAAGGACGCACTGTTCGTACCAAGTATGAGCAAGAATCTGCTTTCGGTGCCACAGATCAACAAGGGTGGCAGGTTCCAAGTCGTGTTCGATGGATCCAAGATGCAAGTGAAGCGCAAGAATTCCACACAAGTCGTGGCAACAGCGGATCTCGTCGATGGACTTTACTGGCTGCGGACTCCTCAACGATCGGCAAATGCAGCAACACGCAATGGGACCATCGACTTGCATGCGCGCATGGGTCATGCACCCCTCGAAGTTCTGCGCAAAATGGTGGCCACTGGCATGATCAAGGACGCCAAGGCACCTCTCAACTCGACTGGTCCAAGTGTGTGCCGTTGCCAGCAAGGAAAGATGGTCCAAAAACCATTCCCAACCAACCGTGACAAACGCCAATATGGTGTGTTCGAGT